TCAGAACAAAGTACCGATAACATCCAGACAAACATGTCAGAACAATGTACCGATAAAATCTAGACAAACATGTCAGAAAAAAGTACTGATAGCATCAAGACAAACATGTCAGAACAATGTACCGATAACATCCAGACAAACATGTCAGAACAAAGTACCGATAACATCCAGACAAATATTTCAGAACAAAGTACCGATAACATCCAGACAAACATGTCAGAACAATGTACCGATAAAATCTAGACAAACATGTCAGAACAAAGTGCCGATAACATCCAGACAAATATGTCAGAACAATGTACCGATAAAATCCAGACAAACATGTCAGAACAAAGTACTGATAACATCCAGACAAACATATCAGAACAAAGTACCGATAACATCCAAACAAAAACATGTAAGAACAAAGAACCGATGACATCAAGACAAATATGTCAGAACAATGTACCGATAACATCCAGACAAAAACATGTAAGAGCAAAGTACCGATGACATCCAGACAAACATGTCAGAACAATGTACCGATAACATCCAGACAAATATTTCAGAACAAAGTACCGATGACATCCAGACAAACATGTCAGAACAAAGTACCGATAGCATCCAGAAAATATGTCAGAACAATGTACCGATAAAATCTACACAAACATGTCAGAACAATGTACCGATAACATCCAGACAAACATGTCAGAACAAAGTACCGATTACATCCAGAAAAATATGTCAGAACAATGTACCGATAAAATCTACACAAACATGTCAGAACAAAGTACTGATAGCATCAAGACAAACATGTAAGAACAAAGTACCGATAACATCCAGACAAACATGTCAGAACAATGTACCGATAACATCCAGACAAACATGTCAGAACAAAGTACCGATAACATCCAGACAAACATGTCAGAACAAAGTGCCGATAACATCCAGACAAAAATATGTCAGAACACCGTATTGGTAACATCCAGACAAACTTGTCAGAACAAAGTACCGATAACATATAGACAAACATGTCAGAACAAAGTACCGATGTTTTAACATCCAGACAAACATATCAGAACAAAGTACCGATAACATCAAGACAAAAACATGTCAGAACAATGTACCGATAACATCCAGACAAAAAATGTCCGTGTCTTTATTAATGTGTAGCACACATAAACTTAGGGTTGATCTCGTCTGGTTCCACTTCACTTCTCTATTTTGACGATGTCTCCAGGCCACTCGTGCTTATATGACCTGAGCTATTGCAGTACTTTACACCTATAACAAACAAACATATTGTCCTGGTATTGCATGTGACGTGGAATATTACATCGTCAGTGACATCACCTGTTAGCGACATAAATGTCACTTATTTGGAAAATTCTAAGTTCATATCCCTCATGTACTTATAAAGATTCATCTTTCTTAGCTCTAGACGGTCATATAAAACACAGGAAACCATGAAAGGTGGATGCGCCTTGATCACTCGTTTTCCCTAAGCTGTTACATACAGTATTGTTACTCCCCTATATGTATTTTCATCTATATTACTACATTTAATTTTTTCACTATTTTCGATTCTTTATGCGGTAGAGTTTATATAACGTAAGCTAACACTGCGGTCAACTGTCCTATCTTTTGTGTTTATTAAACTTGATGACGACAAAAATCCTTCCGATTATTCACCGTGATTGCTATAATATACCGCGTGTATTGTTTTTGCAGGAACCCCGGGTGGAAAAGGCGTTGATGGCGAACAAGGTAATAACCACTGAGAAGTCGATGTGTGAAGTTTTAATCCAAGCCTGGAGTGATTTTTCCTAAATGTTATTATTTCGCATACATCTTTTGAAAAATCTTCAAGACCTTGCAGGTATTTTGTTAGGTATTGATATATGATGTAGACGACAATGTTTACATTATCGTAGTGTTAACGTAAGGATTGACCTTCATATTGATTGCGTATACGGTAGTATGAACGCAGTTGGCAACGAACATGTTCTATGGTGCGCGATAGAACGAACATGTTCTATTGTGCACGATAAAACCAACATGTTCTATGGTGCGCTATAGAACCAACATGTTATATGGTGCGCGATAGAACCAACATGTTCTATGTAGCGCGATAGAACCAACATGTTCTATGGTGCGCGATAGAACCAACATGTTCTATGGTGCGCGATAGAACGAACATGTTCTATGTAGCGCGATAGAACCAACATATTCTATATAGCGCGATAGAACCAACATGTTCTATGTAGCGCGATAGAACCAACATGTTCTATGGTGCGCGATAGAACCAACATGTTCTATGGTGCGCGATACCCAACTGCCTTCATACATGTACTACCGTATACGCAATCAATATGAAGGTCAATCCTTAAGTAAACACTACGATAATGTCAACACGGCCGTCTACATTATATATATGATATTCTTTTAATTTTTTAATTAAATAATATAAACAGCACTTTGAACTAATGTATTCATTCATAACGGTCGGTATGTATTGACACTGCTCTAGTAGTGACGCGGTCGAACGTCGCAAAAGGAAGCTGACATTGTTTACCTTACCGTCATTTTTTTTGAATGCGCCTCCATGGAATAAGAAGTTTGCCAGCATCCATTTGATGCATAATCAGATACAAAATATCCCGAATATGTTCCATGTTTCTATATTTTGAAGAAACCTAAACAATGCCTGTCATTGAACAGCTATCTCGCGGAAGCGTAAACGGCGCCATATTTGAAACGGGTATCAATCCGCAGAGCCTTTTTTCATTGTTTATACGCTATGCATGCGTAGGCAGAGTTTACTGGAGAAGGGATAAGTCAGAGTTTACTGGAGAAGGGATAAGTCAGAGATTACTGGAGAAGGGAGAGACCTTTAACATGTTTATTGATGAAAAGTGCGCATCCAGGTTTTTTAACTGTTCTCAAAACAATGCTTTAATAACATTTACCATTAAAGTACTTTTAGAAGCTTTCACGTTTTAAACGTAGGGATATTTTGTTCTGTATCAGAAGATATCATTTATATTAGCATTGTTTTCCTGATAATGTACGTCTTCAATATTGATGCATATTATTTACTTGTAAGGTCTTTTGCGTCATATAATACAGGTCAACAAGGCCCCAAAGGAAACAGGGGGCCAGACGGATTGCAGGGACAGTCTGGTCAAGGAGGGCCAAAAGGAGACCCAGGTCAGCAGGGGCCAAAGGGCATGAGGGGAGACTCTGGGTTACAAGGTGATATCGGACCTCCAGGATTGAAGGGGGCAAAGGGTCAGACAGGTCAACCCGGGGATAAGGGTCAAAGAGGGATTCAAGGCAATAGTGTAAGTTGACAAAGTAAATCGAATCATCAAAACTAATATGTAAGTTGCATGTGTCTTTTGAACGGATGCAATATCGCTTAGCGATAATTAAATATTGCTTCGATAATAAGGATGTACTGATGACCACTGAATGTGACAAATGTTTTTCTCAATCAGGACTTTTAATCGTGTTAAAATATTACTAAATTGATGTAAATGTAATAACGTTTTATTAAACATTGAAGACTATCAAGAGAATAACATGCCCGTACACCTAATTCCGTTTCTTGGTAGATTTGTAGCTTAATCAACATCACACATTAATATATTGGTCTCATATCAAATGTCCAAACCGTATGTGATAGCACGATCTAACACAATTTACCATACATAATGTTACTTAGGGACACGCCGGAAGTGTAGGTGTATCCGGGGCGAAGGGAACACATGGTGATCGTGGTGAAACAGGAACCATGGGAGAAAAAGGACAGGCTGGAGTTACGGGCCCTGCTGGTGACAAGGGAGCACCAGGAGTACAAGGTTCCGCCGGAACTGACTCGAGGATGCTGTCGGACGGATGTGCCTGTATACGTAAGCCATCAGTAGATAAATCAGATGTTTGTTGATATTGTGAAAAAGTAGTATATTGTTGAGATTATTTGTAGTTTAATTGATGTTCGGATAATTCATTCAATGTCCAACTTTTTCAATAATCCCCGAAACAGTCATGAAGATCTCTGTCCTGATCCGGATATTTCCATGGCTGATACAGACCAAGGTCTCCTTGATTGACAAAGATGTTTGTTACACAGTTAATTCTTTTTCTATTCAGTAAACTGAACTTTGTTTTATCTTACACAGCTCAAACCCCACCAACTGTCATCCCGAGGTACAGGAAGCGGTTCACCATTACATGATGTCGATGCCAGTTTTGAATATTAAAACAGAAAACAATGAATTTGTTACACTTTGTTCAACTTATCTACTGTGTATTTGTTCCATAATTACTGTTATAATATGACTGGTGCTAATTCCTAGCCCTGATTGGAGGAGCGACGCCATGTGACGAGTGTGTAAATATGTTACAGACCTCGTTTTATGAATAGAAAAGTGTTACAGACCTCGACCTATAAATAGAAAAGTGTTACAGACCGCTACTAAAAATAGGCCTAGGTAATTTCCTAGCCAGTCTGTAATTCTGTTACCAATCACACTACTGAATTGAACTACAAATGAATTATCTCATCAAATTCTGAACTATGTGAATATTGATGATGTCGATTGTGCAAATAATATTTACTTGAAATTAAATATCACATGAATTGAAGCTGAAATTCAATTTTTGTGTATGTTATTTTGTATTTGAAGTCCTTCCCTCTGTGATTCCAAAATGGTCCATGCCATCCATGTGTTTGTGACTTGAAAAATTATTTATCTCATTGTAAAATGTCATATAATAAAACAATTGTGGACTTCAGTTTCGGTCTATTCCTTCGGCCTCTGTGAATGTTGTTTTAACCAGGTTTGTAAATCAGGGATAGACCTCACCTGAAGTCCATAATTGTATACTATTGACGTGTCCAACACCGCTGTTTTGTTGCATGCGATCTTGTACTTATTGTGACTGATAATATCAACGGTATACGTCGATACCAGTATTGATTACTGCATAAAACTAAGCGATTATATTTATGCTTGTGTCTAAAATGGTTTCGGATATATCATAATTCTTTAATAAATGATCTCTTCAATATACTTTCTTTAATATACAATGTACGATCTCGTTTCAATATACTTTCTTTAATATACAATGTACGATCTCTTTTCAAAATATATAATTCGATCTAATACATTACTGATCCGGTGTCACTAAACCGGATCCAGTGCCTTGGTGTACATATCTATTTTAGTAAAGATATGTCAAACTTCCTGGTAAATTAATTAAGTGTTTTAGGAGCTCTATGATGGTTGAACAATGATGGATGGAACAATACATTGTTTTGACATTGTTAAGTTTACCTAGTGGAACAGGCTAAAGTGTAAGACATCGTGTCCATGTCTGTTTTAGTTAAAGTTACCCAGCCTCAATATGTCAGAAAAACTGTGGGCAAAATTACAGTCGTAAAATTCCATTAAAACTTTAATTTAAATTACTTATATTCATGGCAAATTATGTCACCATGTTTACGTCATTATTATGCAAATCAGGAGATGTCACGAGAGCAGAATCCAACAAATAGCGACTATATCCTCGACTGGGTCAGCGGTCATGTTTACACAATAAACGCTGAATGTTACTCTTAGCAGATTAAGTTCTCATCTGTCAAGTGGAAACCTTGTCACTCTGAGTGGTGGACAAGCCTGTTTTCCTCCTTAAGCGCATTCCATTAGTCTAAGGCTTCTTCGATATGTACACTTTCGCTGTATTGCTCTGTTGATCTGCTTGAACCCTTTTCTCGACATTTCTGTCTGCCTGCTTGGTCGACCTTCACTATTATACCGTACGTGTCTGCACGTGCTTTTCATTATGTAAAATATCGAATTCTTTACGGCACGTAAGAAAATTAAACTCCTTTATATCCTATACGTTTGACACGTTTCGCTCCCTGATATTACATGAAAGTTAAAAACTTTGTTATGTTAGAAAAATCAGAAATGCATTATCCTGTTGATAAGAAAAAAGAAATATCAAGTCTTCGTTTTAATCATCGAGACCTTTTGGCTCCATTCGAGTTTGACAGTAACAAATGTTTCGTGTCATTTGTCAGATAAAAAATAGAAATAAATAACAATTCCTTTGGTTTTTGTAAATAGAATTCCGTTTATTTACGTGGATTTCACAGATTAGAATGGCTCTGCGTGATATATGATTATACAATATATTAAAACCGTAAAAATAGCAATTTATACAAAAAGGACATCTTGGACAACTAATAATAAACATACAATCATCTATTTTCCTGAACAAAAACCCCTGATTGAATGACCTTGTTCCGATTATTAGAAATCTAAATTGTTAAGTTTGTTTAGCTGTAGTCGAAGGAGATGGTTACAGGAAGTGACGTACGAGTATTAATGCAGCTGATCGGTAGAGAACAGTTACACTTTCATAAAAATACCACGATTGGTTTTATTGTAAGCATGTCATGTTTGAATCTATGTCGCATAAATCTTATTACTTTTTATCGTGAAAGTAGTTATAAACCTCACAGTATTCGATCGATGGGAAGAATATAGGAACCTCGACAGACATCGATAAACATCAAAAAACAAAACACGCTATATAATGTATACTTGACAGTGCTAATTATATATGATATGATAAATATACGTTATATGTATATGATTCTGTATATTATACTCTATCCGTATTTACACTCTGATATAAAACAACAACAAGAGGCCCAGAGGGCCTGTATCGCTCACCTGAATATGTTTAAAATAATTGGTATGAAGTAAATATATAGCACTCGATGGTAGGTGCTGTAAGTACATGTGAAATTTCAGAAAAATCCATCCAGTACTTGAGATATAGCGAGAACAAACTCCAAACAGAGCCCCACCCCTATGCCCCTAGGGGGGTCATACCCACCAATTATATAAAATTGAGACCCCTTGGCCCAATGATGCTCCAGACTAAATAAGGATACAATCCCTTAATCCCGATGGTCGAAGAAGGATTTTAAAGATTTTACCTCTGTTTCCCCTATTGGGCCCCGACCCTCAGGTCCCAGGGGGGCCACATCCACTGTTTATACAAAAATGGTTCCTCTTGACCCAAAGATGCTCAACACCAAATATGGACCAAATTATTTTATTCCTACAGAAGAAGAAGGATTTTAAAGAATAATTTGCTATGTTTCCCCTATTGGGCCCTGCCCCTCAGGCCCCTGGGGGCCAGACCCAAGGTTTATACAAAGTTGGTTCCCCTTCACCCAAGGATGCTTTAGACCAATTATGTAACAAATCCTTTCATTCCTACAGAAGTAGAAGGATTTTTAAAAAAAATGCTTTATTTCCCCTATCGGGCCCTGCCCCTCAGCCCCAAGGGGGGCCAGACCCAACGTTTATACAAAATTGAGTCCCCTTGGCCCAAGGATGCTCCACACCAAATATGGAACAAATCCTTTCATTCCTACAGAAGAAGAAGGATTTTAAAGAATTTGCTATATTTCCCCTATCGGGCCCGCCCCTCAGCCCCCCAGGGGGGCCGGACCCATCATTTATACAAAATTTGTTCCCCTTCCCCAAAGGATGCTCCAGACCAAATATGGAACAAATCCTTTTATTCCCACGGTAGAAGAAGGCTTTTAAAAGTTTAACCTCTATTTCCCCTATTGGGCCCCGCCCCTCTGCCCCCAAGTTTATTCAAAATTGGTTCCCCTTCACCCAAGAATGCTTCAGACCCAATATGGACCAAATCCTTTCATTCCTACAGAATAAGAAGGATTTTAAAGAATTTGCTATGTTTCCCCTGTCGGGCCCTGCCCCTCAGCCCCTTGGGGGGCCAGACCCACGGTTTATACAAAATTGGTTCCCCTTGACCCAAGGATGCTTTAGACCAATTATGGAACAAATCTTTTCATTCCGACAGAAGAAGAAGGATTTTAAAGAATAATTTGCTATATTTCCCCTATTGGACCTCGCCCCTCAGCCCCAAGGGGGCCCAGACCCACCGTTTATTCAAAATTGGTTCCCCTTCACCCAAGAATGCTTCAGACCAATTATGGAACGAATCCTTTCATTCATACAGAAGAAGAAGGATTTTAAAGAATAATTTGCTATGTTTCCCCTATTGGACCTTGCCTCTCAGGCCCCTGGGGGCCAGACCCAAAGTTTATACAAAGTTGGTTCCCCCTCACCCAAGGATGCTCCAGACCAAATTTAGTCAAAATCTCCTTTGCCGTTCAGGACTAGTAGCGTTTTAAAGGAAAAGTTGACGGACGGACGGACGGACGGACGATGGACGACGGACGCTGCAGTATGGCATAAGCTCACCATGGTCCTTTGGACCAGGTGAGCTAAAAAAAACCACTTGATTAAATAAACATTCTGATATGCTTAAACATAATATATCCATATATTTATGTAGTTAGATTTCAAATAAAGTGCAGCAAAAATGTATTCTAAAATGACAATTTTCAATATTTTCGTAGATAACTATATGCATAATGTTCTCTTTATCGGTAGCTGTTACTAATTAAGACAATACAATAAGTAACTAGACGAGGATTCGTGATGACATCAGATTTAAAACCTTCCCTTGATCTTATCGAGTCACGAGTGTCGTATAACGATATTCTGATACATCTGTTTTCCTACATTTTATATATACACTATAAACTTAGATATTTCCTAACCGAGTTATTATCCTATATATTTGTTACGTCGACCTGGTGCAACATTCCGGTTGAACTGCCACACAGGTAGAGTACTGTTCTTGGTGAACTAATTTACGTAAATGTTGCAAATTACGTTTAAAAAGATTAGCTTTGGTCCCTAATTTTGAATAGAAAGTTTTTCAATTTCATTAAGAAATTTAAACTATGTAGATTTTAAAATATCAGACGTTGCATTTAATCGACAGCTAAAAGTGTTCCGATATTTGCCAAATAAGAAAATAAACTATCCAGAAAAACGAATACAATCCCGTCAGATTTTTACTTTCTCGTCATATTTACCTAAAAATAATACTCACCAAGTAAAAAAGAAAATATAATTATTTTAGCTTTGGCATCATACTCTTATAATATATTGGATGCGCATTATTTATCATTTCTTAGGTAAGTTCCAAAACGTTACAAAGAGTTATTGTCAATATACAGCTTACCACAACCAAATATAGAAGTACATTTATTTTCGCAGTGTATTTAAAAACCCGTATCTTGAGGTATGGATTTATTTTGTTTGACTCGTTTGTTGAGTATATCGGGGAAACTATTGTTGTTTTGAAGCTTCCATTGTACTACAAATCACCCTGATGTGTGAATGACGTCAGACAATCACTAAGCCATACTTACAATATGTAGAACCATGTGTGAGAGATACGTCATTCTTACCATCATCACATTTAGGTATGAGAGTGACTTCCTTCTTACTACCACCAGTACGTGAGAGAATGTCGTCATACCTACTAAAGCCATAACGTGTGAGAGTGACGTCATACTACTATCACCATTACGTGTGAGAGTTACGTTATTTTTACACAATCAACTATACGTGTGAGAGTGACGTCATACTTGAAACCACCATTTCGGCTTTGGGTGATGTTGGACATTCCATTTACATTCGACGTTTCGTTTGAGAGTGACGTCATTTATCCTCTATATACTACTTAATTCATTATCATTGGTTTGAGAGTAACGTCATTTATCATATATATACTACTTTATACCGCCTACTGGTAGCATGAGTAATTCATTATCATTGGTTTGAGAGTAACGTCATTTATCATCTATATACTATTTTATACCACCTACCGGTAGCATGAGTAATTCATTATCATTGGTTTGAGAGTGACGTCATTTGTCATATATATACTACTTTATACCACCTACCGGTAGCATGAATAATTCATTATCATTGGTTTGAGACTGACGTCATTTATCATCTATATACTACTTTATACCACCTACCGGTAGTATGAGTAATTCATTATCATTGGTTGTCAGTATGAGAAAAATTTGAGAACGACTTGAGAACGGATTTTCTCATTCCTCAGCACTTGGGAACCTATTTTCTCAAAATAGAACGCCTGCTCGCGCCAGATGACGTCCGAAACCGGAAAAATAGTGTCCACATAAAAGTGATCCGCGTAATAAAATAGTCCGTCATATACATATCAATACATAGTTACGAGAAAATATTGTGAGAATAACAACACCATTTCAGGTGTAAATGTGCATATGGAAAAGCCAATGACGATAGGATTGTTTTAAAAATATTCTTTTCTGCGTAGTTTTAAGGTTCATTGTATTCCTCCATGCAAAACTTCTATTTGTTTACGTTTGCCACAGGCGATCGTTGACCATAGAGCTTAGAAGTCATTTAGATAACATGGTGTTTAGTTGAGTTTTTTAAATGGAGGAATATATAAAGTAGAAGTACAATGTATATAGATGAAAAATAGATTATTTTGTTCCGGTGGCCTCGATATTTTATCTACGTGCGAGCGATGAGAAAGTTGTTTTCACAACAAACCCTGAAAATACACAATCAACGTTATCTGTTGGAGTGACAAAGTGAATTAACCTTCCATCAATTAATACAAAATACACATTTAAAGCAGGTGTCTAAAAGAATAGTTTTGTTCAAAACTTTGTTTAAATCAACAATATCAAACGTGCAAAAAAATAATAATATGTTAATTAAAATAAATTAACTTATTTACTAAGGATAAGAATCATCAGTGACATAACAATCAATATTGATATCTGTTTAACAATGAACAAATACATTTCTAATACATTGCTCTGTCAGCAACATTGTGTGATAGGTCTGTTTAATGTATAAGGTATTTTGGGATACCTCTGTGAACTGTACGTGATGCGCGGACATATTAGAAAGAACATGTATATTTGTGGCTTCTCAAATACTTTATCATAATCATTTTGCTTAATTTCAATCTGATTTTTTTATAAAAGAAACATCCGTGACCAGGTAATGAAGTCATACAAGTTATTAATACTGTGGCTTTCACTGTGTATTACCGCAAATAATTATGTAGGGGTGGTTCCCAAAAACGATGGTGAACGGGTTGTGCAAAAATGGTAAGATTTTGTTGTGAAAATCAATATTTTGGAATCATTTACTTCCAGATGAATTGCTCTTTCATGTTAATTTGGTAAAGTTACGATATGTTAACATTATTGATAACAACACTATTATCTTACAACACCGTTATCGTATGTACCGTTATTGTATCGAAATATAATCGGATAACACGGCATCGTGTGCTATCGTTATTGTATAACATTTTAATCGTACATCATCGTTATTGTACATCTACGTTATTGTAAAATACCGTTATTGTACATCATCGTTATTGTACATCGCCGTTATTGCACATCACCGGTATTGTAAAATACCGTTATTGAACATCATCGTTATTGTACATCACCGGTATTGTAAAATACCATTATTGTACATCATCGTTATTGTACATCACCGTTATTGCACATCACCGGTATTGTAAAATACCGTTATTGTACTAACATTTTAATCGTACATCATCGTTATTGTACATCTATGTTATTGTAAAATACCGTTATTGTACATCATCGTTATTGAACATCACCTTTATTGTACATCACCGTTATTGTACATCATCGTTATTATAAAATACCGTTATTGTACATCACCGTTATTGAACATCATCGTTATTGTACATCACCGGTATTGTAAAATACCGTTATTGTACATCACCGTTATTGTACATCATCGTTATTGTACATCATCGTTATTGTAAAATCCGTTATTGTACATCATCGTTATTGTACATCACCGTTATTGCACATCACCGGTATTGTAAAATACCGTTATTGTACATCACCGGTATTGTAAAATACCGTTATTGTACATCACCGTTATTGTACATCATCGTTATTGTAAAATACCGTTATTGTAAAATACCGTTAGAGTTACTGAACGGGACTTCAACTTTTCATTTGTTTCACTTGTTCCACTGATTTAGATACAACTGGTAACAAGCCCAAGTACCATGTGATCCCTACACTGGCTAGCCTTATTCTACATCTCATCCTACCAGCCAATAGCGTTACATTGCTTTTTCCTAGATGCGCACAAGTCCCATTGTTATACTATTTAACTCTACCTTTTACCACTTCATTATACCAGTTCACACTAGTGAAGCTTATAAAAGGTATAGCATAATATTAGACCACGGGACTGATGCAGGTCCAAGATTTCCTGTGATTTCAATGAACCCGTAGTTCGTTGTCTAGGCTTTCAATATGGTACTCGCTGCTTCCTCATTTGACCGTCTCCAGCTTGACTGCCTGACCTTTCGGTTCAGTAGCCTTGACTTCGTAGCCATGCCTGGACTTTGCCGTAGTTCTCGCTCATCCATTTGACGTTGCTGGCGGTTTTCTCGATGGCCTGATTGAAGGCTCGCGTGCCTGACCCCATATCAGGATTCTTCTCCAGGAAGTTATTGAGCTAAAACGAACACAAAAGAATACACGAATAAAACATGTGTTTATACATAATTACCATCAGTATATACCCCGTTATGTTAGCAGGAAAACAGATTGGTCAGTTATTCAGTAAAACAAGTTATTAATAAATCAATATTATCGTATAAAACAACTATCGCTGAAAAAATATCCACTCATCAATTCATCATATTGAACGCGACTACAGTATTTGTACATATATTATGTTTGATTTCAATAATACACTACATCATACTTACCATACATAATAGGAATCATGTGATCATACTCATTATATCCCAAAAAGTATTTAATCTACAATCGCCAATGTCTAAAGGTACATATGTATGTCTTTTTAGGACTACTGAATTCTCTGTTGTAATCTGAGGCTTTACCACTTTATTATTATATACATACATAATATACTTTTGTAATCTGAAGCTATGCTTCTTATTTCTTATATAGATAAATACTGTTCTTTTGTCATCTGCACAAGGCATCCTGTTTTCTTCTCTAGTGATTAGTTTAAACAACTAAATATCAATAACAAACGCTAAGAGTTTGTGTACGTATTCAATTGACATTTTATCAACAACAATAAAACCGAATGATTCATTGCAGAAGTCAACATTGTTGAATATAGAGTAATAACCAAACATAAACAGTCAATCTGTAAATAGGAACATGTTTAAACCCCACATAGGGTCGTAGTACTCGTTAACGGAAATAGAGAATTACTTTAGTTTACCATCAACACCACTATTGAGTACACAGTATACAAACCTACATATGTTTATAATGATAATGATTAAATATCACCAATCCAGCAGAACGAAATGTTAGTATAGACATGCTTTTCTATGGATATTAGTAATCATCCATCCAACAGTCATGCTGTAATACTAGTATATATAGAAATGGATAAGCATGCAGACGGAGAAGCAACAGCGCACACGCATCACATTTATAGAGTATAGCTGTATACGACAGAATATCAGTTGTTTGTCTGAATAAATATACAATTTATTGTTAAATAGGTCATACGTATTCTGTTTGTTTACACTTTTTTTTTTATATATTTAACCCATTTTAATCAATTAAGAAGTGACAGATAAATGATTGTTGCTGTTAAACGTCTATTATTGCATAAAAATTATGTATATATTAAGAATATGGGAATGTCAAAATAACAGCAATGAACGAAATAACATTTAAATACCTCAGGCAATGAAAGACAATACAGAACCACATAGGACTGCCAACGCTGTATTGTGACTACCAGTACGGATGACGATGTACTACAGTACCACATTGAGGGAAGCGTTCCTGTCCAGCACCCGACGATCCCATACACAAATACCTGACCCAATAAAACACCCCAGCAATACCCTCTCCAAACAAGTAGACGCAGTCCTACCTGATCAAGCTCAATTTGAGTATTTAGGGTTTTCAACGCTCCCGATATCAGGTTAGCTAACTGGAACACCCCACCTCCCAATCTGCAATTTAAGAGGTAAACGAATTATAACCAGAGCTCGGTGACTAAATGTGACGTATTGTAGGGATGCCTCCCATTCTGGGTTGATTATGTTAACTTATCCATTCGACACACGTCTGTAATCCGCTCACCCAAATATTGAATTCTGAAAGAAAATGCCAAGTATAGACCTCCTAGAGAAGTAATATTGGATATGAAGAGATTTCTATTGGATCATTTGATGTGTAATATAACGTTTTTATAAATTTTCGGACTTTCAAACAAGACAAGTGTTTAATCACGACAGATAAACTAGTTCTTCAAATGTGCAGTGTGGGTAGAATGTACAGGAACTCTGTTTGGAGGTAGAATTATATCAATACAACAATGTGTCTTACAAGTATTAATACCAATTGTGTAATAAACCAATTAATTAATTCCGGAATCGACGATGGTTATCTCCCCTGGGGCCGTAGCCATCTGTTTCCGGTTGTGCAGACGTGATCACAATTGAAACAACGCATCAAGATTGACGCAGGACAATAAGTATGCTTTCAAAGCAAAATATTCATAAATATGGTTTAACCATAGGCCATTGGAAATGTGTATGTCAATTGTGGGAGGTGATGGCTTGTCAATAAGATGATTTTGACCGATCTCGAATTGAGTCGAGATATATTCTCACCGGAATGCACATTTTGTTCCATTAAGTTTTACATTATAATTGCATGAGGCAATCACATATAAACATTCATTGTCAAACGGAATTCACCCTTTCGATACAGAAGCGGAAACTATCAAAACCAGCCATCCACATAGCCAAAAACCAATGTCCAACAAAATATGGGATCTGGGAAAGTCTCCAATTAAACTACCAGCACTGAGGAAATTGGTCACTAGTTATCCTAGGGTAGTAGTAGGAAGGGAACTAATGCTAGGTTTTTCAATTGAATTTAAGATTCATTATCAGGGACCAAGAGTTACAACTTCTGCAAAAAAACTAAAATCTGCCGAGACTCATGAAGTTGACACAAAGGAAAAGATTATGAAGGAAGTTGAGCTAGATAGAATAGCAGGCCCTTTAATACCATGCCAATCTCTACACTTCATATATCGCCCATTGGGGTGGTTCCCTAAAACGATGGTAAATGGAGACTTATTACTAAGTGAAGGAAGCATAAATAGCTTAATTGATCCAAACGAGGCATCTGTTCAATATTCATCATTCGGCAAAGTTGTCGACATGAATTTAAAACTAAGAAAAGGAGCACTACTGGGGGAAATGAACGCTTGATTCCGATACATCCTTCAGATTTTGACTTGTCAGGCTTTAAGTTTAACGGAGAATTTTGTGTTTACCTATTGGGTGCTCAATATCATGTAGTATTTTCGAGAAATTTGCAACATTTATTGAATGGGTCGTTATGAAAAAGTCTGGATTTAAAACAGTAGATCATTATCTAAATGACTCTTTCTTTGCTGGAAAATCCGGAAGTGAGACTTGTGGAAAATTAATGAGGACTTTTGGTGAGGTTTGTGATGAGCTAGGCATTCCTATAGCGGGAGAGAAACAGAGGGCCTTAATATAATAATAATGTTCTTATGGTTGGAAATTGACACTGAGCAAGTGGTTGTAAAAATTCCCTAATGTTCTTATGGTTGGAAATTGACACTGAGCAAGTGGTTGTAAAAATTCCCTATCAAAATCAGTTAGCACTCACATCAGATATAAACTTTGTTATACTGAGGAATACAAGGGTTTCACGAAAATCTCTTCAATCGTTAACTGGGTCTTTGTCATTCTATGTCAGGGCCATACCGGTGGCTCGGGCATTCTATGTCAGGGCCATACCGGTGGCTCGAGCATTCTTTGGCAGGGCCATACCGGTGGCTCGAGCATTCTATGGGAGGGCCATACCGGTGGCTCGAGCATTCTGTGTCAGGGCCATACCGGTGGCTCGGGCATTCTATGTCAGGGCCATACCGGTGGCTCGGGCATTCTATGTCAGGGCCATACCGGTGGCTCCAGCATTCTATGTCAGGGCCATACCGGTGGCTCGGGCATTCTATGTCAGGGCCATACCGGTGGCTCCAGCATTCTATGTCAGGGCCATACCGGTGGCTCCAGCATTCTATGTCAGGGCCATACCGGTGGCTCCAGCATTCTATGTCAGGGCCATACCGGTGGCTCCAGCATTCTATGTCAGGGCCATACCGGTGGCTCGAGCATTTTATGTCAGGGCCATACCGGTGGCTCGAGCATTCTATGTCAGGGCCATACTGGTGGCTCGAGCATTCTATGTCAGGGCCATACCGGTGGCTCGAGCATTCATCCGAAGGATGTTGGATGCTATGACGGGCATTTATAAACCTTTTCATTTGGTAAGTATAGCCTCAGGAATCAAACAGGACCTGGGAATGTGGTTGATTTTGTTAACCATATTAACCTGGAGATTGGAGTTTAGGCGCAAAAAGAATGTATTAAATGCAGACAATGAGGCACTTGTGACAATCTTAAACAAGAAAACCTCCAAATCTCATAAGGTCATGTCATTAGTACGCCCTCTATTAATCTGGTGTATGAATAACAACATTAAGTTCAAGGCCATTCATGTAGCAGGGGTTAACAATTCAGCAGCTGATGCATTCCCTCGATTTAAATTCTCAAAGTTTCGAGAGTTAATTATTGATTAACGGGGAGTTGGTCACCCTCAAACCTTGAATATATTGATTCGCACAATAATCAGCGGGTAGCTTGACACCCAGAAACCGCTAATTAGTGATTATTGAATTGTTTGTTGATTGTGGTCTGTCAAATTACACCCATATTGGCTAATTGGGAAGACGGCCGTATAGAAAGTTGTGACCAATAAATCCAATCAATCTTATAACTTGTGTTTGTTATGTGTGTATCTTTAATTCTACAGTTACAGTGTGATCTGTTGTGACACGTAGGACCGTGTGTGTAATACGACTCTTAATTATATCTCAATTAATGTGTATAGGACATTAGTTAAGGAAGCCTCTCCATTAATGTGTATGGGACATTAGGTAAGGAGGCCTCTCCGTTAATGTGTATGAGACATTAGATAAGGAGGCCTCTCCGTTAATGTGTATGGGACATTAGGTAAGGAGGCCTCTCCGTTAATGTGTATGAGACATTAGGTAAGGAGGCCTCTCCATTAATGTGTATGAGACATTAGATAAGGAGGCCTCTCCATTAATGTGTATGGGAAATTAGGTGAGGAGGCCTCTCCGTTAATGTGTGTGAGACATTAT